TCATCATCACAGAAAGATCAAAGACCTACCTAATGATCACCTATTACCCTGTTAACTAAAATGAGCATATAGCCAAAGATTGTTGTCTCCTTTCCTTTGCTTTCCTTCTGGAACTTCATTTTGTAATGCACAAAAATATATTCATGAGCCATCTCTTTGTCTTCATATGCACAGGACATCTAAAGAAACCTTGGTAACACTGCAGACAATTCCAATCTAGTTTCTGATGTCAGGTTGGTTATTGACTGAAGTCCTTACGCGCTGCCTGACGTGTCTAAGGGGAGGGTCCTGTGGGCAGTAAATGGAGCAGGGGCCAGAGGCCATGATAGGTTCCAGGAAGGCTTCCCATTCCCAGATGTGTTCATTTCTGAGGGCTGCCTAACAGAGTACCACACACTGGGCAGCTTCAAACAGCAGTTCTAGAGGCTGGAAATCTGATATAAGGGTGTCAGCAGGGACACACTCTCTTTGAAACTGGCAGGGGAATCTATCCTCACCTTTCCCTGGTCTCTGCTGGTATGCAAACTCGTTGGCACTCCTCAGCTTGTAGACTCCCCACCGCAGTCCCCTGGTTCACATTGCTCTTCTGTATCTCTTCATACTGGCTCCCCTCTGTAGGTGTCTGGCTCTAGGTCTGAATGTCCCCCTTTTACAAGGACACCAGTCGTATTGGCTTAGGACTGACCCATCAGACTTTATTTTAACCTTATTTATTCTATAAAGACCCTATTTCCAAATAAGGTCACATTCTGAGGTATTGGGGATCAGGACTTCAAAATATCTTTTTAATGTTTTTTGTGGGGGGCACCCCAAGCCCCAGGGATCCTTATATTTATCCTGGATAAGGCTCTGCATACAGTTTTGGTATTTGAGAAAGCACACAGGCATCAGACAAATTTAAATTCTCACCAACTAAAGGGAGTTTCAGTTGAATTTTATTGAAACTGGATTGAAATTGAAGTTTCAATTTCTTATATGTAAATCTTGTCATTATATTGTGAATGGCACACTGCATTACATTTTGTGCTGAAAATGTAAATTTGCACAGGTTATAAACATTTCAAATTCTCTGTAACTTTTGTAATCCTATTGTGACATTTCTATTATGCTGTGAGCATCTACAAATAAAACTGGCCAAGGCCTTTGAGCACAAGTCAAGTGTATCTTCATGACTGAACATGATTTGAATCTCTTTTTCAAGGATTTATTTCAAGGAGGTGAGACAGGGACCATGGGCTTAGACAGAGTAGGGGGAGGGCCTCCAGAAAAAGCAAGGCAGATATTTATAGTCAAAGCAATGTAACAATGTAAAGTCCCTATTGAAACTCTGTGTTCAGCATTATGCAAAGTCAAGGTCACACTAATTCTCTAGGGTAAAGATACTAGACTAGGAATAGAGGCATCTTCAGTGAGATCAGTTAAAGGTCAAAAGGCCAGGAGCAACTTGGCCTGGAATGTTTGAGTGTTCTGCAAGGGTATCTCAGCATAACCTGTGACTTCCCTGTAAACAGCCCTAGCAAACAGACAACCACCCAGCCCAACCTGGGGGCAGGGCAGGTGGTACAAGTCCACACCCTAAGCCCTCAATTCCCAAAAGTCCTCAACTGTCTATAAGTCCCCTAGACAACGCACCACCCTGGGCTCTCTTGTCCCCTCCTGGAGTGAGCCAGGAGCTCTGTCCTCTCACTGTATCTCACAATAAAAGTCTCCCTGGCTCTCCTACCTTGAGTGTTTGTGAAGCTCATTCTTTGGCTTCGTGAACAAAATCCCGGCATCAGAGGCAACAATTTTCATTTAATGTTTGCTTTCTTATGAAGAACCTTTTAAGGAACAGAAAAATATGGGACATACCCCAATTGTTAAAATCAATTTCCTGAAAAGGGAGTAGTAGGTAATAAGACTCACAATTCTTACATATGTCAGGCATTTCCTAGAGGTGACAAATTTGTAACTCATACCCTACTGATTATGTAACTTTGAGAATAAATATGGAAAGATTGTTCTTCTAAAATCCTTGGTTCTTAAAAACTTAAAATTCTGATATTTTCCCCATTGGTGTTTTATTTGATTGCATTGCATAGATATATTGTTTTTACAGTTTCTCTACTTCTAAGATTCCAGAAACAGGATTGAAGAGAAAGTCGGTTTCTGCCTATCTGACACCTGATATGTATTGAATACTGGCCAATTGGCTGTATTTAACGACGAATACATTATTTGTGCATTTTATTGAAACATATATATGTTTAAACACTGTGTGAACATGTCCTCGTGTATTCTATTTTTACATTTACTTTGAAACTTCCTAGTCCTTGGGTATTTTTATGGTCAGGCACATATGCATGCAATGATTGTATGACCACCCTTGGATTATGCATCGCCTCTAATGAAATTAACTTTTTGCTCACCCCTGGGCAACCTTTGGAAATAAGACAATAGTCTCAGTTGTTTGTTTCCTGGAGAGATGTTAATGATTAACTTGAAAAAGGAAGAATTTCTTCTATCCCACAGCCTAATTTTTCATAATTCCTTAGAATTGCTGTATACCTTATCTTTGTTTAATATATCCCATACAAGATATTAACTTCTATAATGCTGGTGTATGTGTATTCTTGGCTAAGGAGAAAGCACTACCATACCTAAAGACTTTAGTTCTTTCCAGTTGGGTTGATTGCTTTTTTACATTCAGCCTTGTCCACAGCCAGAAAATGTTGAATTCAGGCTTTGCTTTAATGGTTGTTAGATAAAGCATCCATCTGATTTATTTGGATACTAACTACCTTTTGCCTGAATTCATGTATTAAATAATGTTTTCCATGTGTGACTAGCAATTCTTTATTGGGGTACTCCCAGCAGGATGTGAAATACTAAAGAAATGTGAAGTACTCTGGCTGGCTAAGAGTTTGCAGCATTTGAAGAGTGTGCTTCAGAACATGCTTAGGTGGTGGGCAACACAATGTAAAACCTGGGAGATGGCATACTGTGCTGGGGTGGCTGAAGCATTTGGCCTTTAGCCATAGATGCCTGCAGGGTATTTAGTGGGGTTAGGTCCTCTTTTCGGCTAGGGAGAGTAGTCAGCTAACCCAAGGGGCCTTTGTAGCAGGCTGAGTTGAGGTTTGCTTGCCTGATGGCTTAATGTCTGAGTCTCAGGATTAAGCACAAGACTATAGTCATGCACTGAGCTTTGTATCTCTACTACCTCTTTCAATTTGCCTAACAATGCTATTCAGTAGGTACTAGTATTCTCTCCCATTGTATTTTGAGGCAAATGACTGTCATAGAGGTCAAATGCCTTGATCACAGAGATAACAGTGATGGAATAGAGATTTGAACCCTGGCAGTTTCACTACAGGTAGCCCCTTTGTTTGCAATCAGCTCTTCATAATTCCTTAAGGGGGCTATATGAAATACAGAAGGTGTGGGCTTTATGTATATACAGTCCTAGGTTCACATCCCAATTCTACACTTGATAGGTGGGCGTCTTTGAGTCCATTTTCCAATCTTTCTGGGTTTCAGTTTCATCATCTGTCAAAAATGAATTTGCTGGGAGGATTAAATGAGATAACCCATGTGAATGCCCAGCCCAACAACTAGTAAGTGTTCAAAAATGCCAGCTCATTTCCCTTTGAGCTGCTAGCTTGTATTTCATCCGTAACGCTAAATGAGTCTCCCAGTGCGGCCCATCCTTCTTCTGCTGGGAAAGCACCATAGTCATGCTGCTCAATTGCCATTGCTTCAATAGATGCTTCTCAGATTGGGGGCCATGGCCAAAGTTCCTGGAGTTTTGTTTCCCTTCAAGCAGAAGTAAATCCATCCAGACATCCTCCTTTTAAGTACAGAGGGCTGCATCTGTTTAAGCCCCTAGATAATACCTTGTGATTGAAATTGTTTCAGTAACATCATTTGCCTGTTTTATTGAAGCAGAGGTTACAATTATTAGCGACACCAGGAATTTCAGACATTTAAACACAGTCTTGACATTTCCAGACACACCACATCCCTGTGCTATTATTAGTTTATCTACATATCTTCGATCCAAATCCCAAACTGGAGCTGGCCTCTGTGGGAGGTGGTCCCTCTGAGGACAGGCTCTCCACCATTCTGTCAGTGGCAGGCAGGTGACCCTGGAACTCAGCTGGGGGTTGCTGTAAAGTGCCTCGCTTCTACTTAGCTGGTAATTTGCTACCTGGCTCTGATCACTTCCTAGTCACTGCCAATTTGGCTAGATTATCCCAGCTCCCTGCTTGAAACTGACCTTAAGGATTTAAAAGAATTAAAAACACGGTTTTCCTTCCCTCGGCATGTTAGGGTCCAGGACTCCGGGGTTTCCCAGAGAACAAGCCACACGGACACGGAGATGTAAATCCAAGCAAAGTCTTTATTCATCCAGCAAGCTGGGGCCGACAGCACCTCCCCTGACACGCAGGCCGAGTCCGAGCTGCTGACCCCGAAGCAACTTTAGGTACTGATTATATAGGATTTTCACAGCCGTTACACCAAAGCCCGGGCAGTTCTACAACCATTAGGTTTAAAACACACTATATTGTAACCAATGGGAAACATTGTAACCTTTTTAGGGAACGTGCCAGTTGCCTGACCGCTTCAATTGCTATCTCATGCTTACCCAAGCATGTCTACGTGACTTATCACGGGTTACATCCCCAGGCGTTTCCAGGCTGTTGCCCACTTCTAGTTATCTAACTTAGGGCAGGCGCATTTCTCAGAAGCCTCAGGTAATTTACACAAAAACTGGGTGGCTCTTGCTCTAGGCAGTCAGGTTAAGTGTCATTAGTTCTTTTTCCTGACTCTTGATACTCTCTGCACTCCTTTACATTTCCCCCCTTTACTTGATCAGACTAAGGAATCTTCCGCAGGAGTGTCTAGGGCCTGATATCTTTGGCGAAGGACCAGGAGTTGGACAGTGTCAAACCTCTCCTGCACAAACCTAAGCAGCCTGTTTATTATACACAGGCTGATAGAAAGCAATAACAGCAGGATGACTAGTGCCCCACAACGGCCGAGAGGAGGGTAGCAAACCATGGCTTGTGCTTGAACCAAGACTCAAACCAGCCTTCGCTGCTTTCATATTCCTTACGCCGCCTGTCAAGATCTTTTTTTAGTTTGGCTAAGGAATCTCTGACTGCACCTATCTTATCCACATAGAAACAGCATTCTTCTTTTAGGGCTGCGCATAGCCCACCTTCCTTTAAGACCAAGAGGTCCAGGCCCCTTCGGTTTTGTAGGACCAACTCTGACAAGGAGGTGAGGGATTGCTCCAGGCCTGATATTGACTGTCGGAGTTGTTCTAGGTCCCTGTCGACTGCCAGCCTCAGGTCTGTGAGCCCTTTTTCCCGAGTTACAAGGGCTGCGACCCCAGTGCCTGCCCCTGCTATCCCTAGGGAGAAGAGGGTCCCAATGGTCAGGGCAGTAACCACCTCCCTCTTGCTCCGGTGGGGGCTCGGCCTTTCTTCCCAATAAGAAAGGAAAGATTCATGAGAATGATACATTAGGCGAGGTAGAATGGCCACCAGCACACAAAACTCACTGTTAGCATTGAACACAGAGGTGGATAGGGCCAGAGTGAGGCCTGTCTTCGAGCAGAGCCACCAGCCCGAGGAGGGTATAATTCACTTGTCCTGCTCCCATGTGGTGTTATTATAGGAGGAGCATAACTGGCTCTGGGCCGCCGGGACTGTGCCTACACACGTACCAACGACTGAAACCTGAGCGATCATAAGTCCCCACGGTTTCCTGTCCCAGTAAGTGGGATGGGAGTTGCTGATAGTGTAGGAGCCAGTTATCCTGATTGCCTCATAGAAGGGGGGTGAACCTGTGTAGCATAGCCAACAGGGATCGGTGAGGAAGAGAGTGGTATGGTTAAGAGTCTCTACTACTGCCTGCACCATTTCCCACATGGGATTATCTAACCCAGAGGGAGTGTGCTGGGCCCATAACCCAGAGGTCGATGGACCCGGTCCTCTTATGGGTTCTGGGGTAAACGTTCCGGTCGACATTTTCTTATCTTTTTGGCCCAGGCCCTTGTTCTGATTTGAAGGTTTCTGGGGAATTTTAACCTGGTTGGGACCTACGGCGGCGTTGGGAGATGGCGTGGGAGCTGACACGATTAATTTAATGGTGAGGGTTGAGCCTTCTTCCTCATGTCCCCAAGATTTATAGTACTTTATCCCCCATGTTAGCCCGTTTACCCAACGTGATACCTCAGTCTTTTTGCCCTTCTCGGTGAATTGAATTCGTACCCAATCCCGGTCCTGGTCACAAGCTTTGTCCCTAGGCACATGACGTGGGATGCCCTAGTTGACATAAGAAAATTTGACAGCATCCCCTTTTGTAACTGGCCATTTCTGCCCCCCATCGTTCGAGGTTACACAGTCCAATCTGGCACACCAGAAGGGTCCCCACCCACATGACTCTCCTTTACCTGCTTCTGGGCAGGCGTAAAATCCCTGGGCGCTAGCCAGAGGGACGTAGGGCCCCAGCCCCCAAAGGGTCCGGTAACCTTGGTTGATCTGTCGAAGGCAGAAAAACAGGTCAGGCCACCAGGTTCCAAGTGGCGCCCTGTGTTCTGTGGTACTGATGACTTCCCCAGTTGCGCTGTTGACCAGCATCCAGGTCAGGCCCCATGGCTGGGGTGGGGGGCTGGTCACAGATGTGGTTCCCTTGAAGGTCCATACTAAGGCACTTATCAGCAGGATCCCCTTCATCTTCAGCTTAGGTGTCGTTTCAGGGGATTCGCAGGATGCTGCTGCACCTTCCACTCCTCCTTGTGGGCCCCTGGATCCTTATGAGGCAGGACCTTCTGAACGTGGGTGTGGTGCACCCATGGAGCGATACCATCAACCTTGAGAGCAGTGGGGGTGGTAAACAATACAACATAAGGTCCCTTCCACCTGGGCTCGAGAGTCCTCACTTGGTGTCTTTTGACCCATACCATATCCCCTGGGACTATGCCATGTTCCGGGCTCGGAATTTTCCCGCCCTCATAATATGCTCTGATCAGGGGCCAGATTTCCTGCTGCACTTTAGCAAGAGCTTGCAACACATTCAGATAGTCAGGGGCCGGGTCCTCTGCACCGGGAAGCTGCACTCGCTGAATTATGGGTGGAGGGGCCCCATACATTATCTCAAATGGAGTTAAACCATGTACATAGGGGGAGTTCTGAACCCAGAATATGGCTAAGGGAAGGAGGGTCACCCAGTCCCCGCCAGTCTCCAATACCAATTTAGAAAGAGTCTCCTTTAGGGTCTGATTCATTCTTTCTACCTGCCCAGAGCTTTGTGGGTTATAAGCACAATGCAACTTCCAATCTACTCCCAAAGCTAGGGCTAGTCCTTGCAGGACTTTGCTAATGAAAGCCGGGCCGTTATCGGAACCTATGGATTCAGGGACCCCATATCTGGGAACGATTTCCTCAATTAATCTTTTTGCTACTACCTGGCTAGTCTCATGCTTGGTTGGAAAAGCCTCCACCCACCCAGAGAAGGTATCTACCATAACCAGCAAATACTTATATCCATACCTCCCTGGTTTTACTTCGGTGAAGTCTATTTCCCAATTCCTCCCTGGAGCCCTCCCCCTTTCCCGGGTACCTGCCGGGTGCAGCCCTCTTGGGGCTGGTCTTATCATTGCACAGCTACTGCATTCTTTCGTGATCTGACGAACTGCCTCATTCTGGTGGGGAAACACTAACTGTGCAGACTGGAAAAGGCTGAGCAGCTTTTTCCAGCCTAGATGGGTGGACTTATGCAGATTAGCAAGCATGTACTGTCCTAATGCTTCTGGCAGAATCAATCTACCTTGTTGGTGCCTACTCCAATTTCCCTCCCCAAACACTTTTCCCGATACTTGTTTCCTAATCCACTCAAGATCCCGAGGGGAATACTCAGGTTTGGGTGGCAGGGCAGGCAGTTCAGGTATAGGTATCTCAAGGGCTGCAAGTACAAGGGAGTCCAAGAGGGCCGCCCTCTTAGCTTCCGCATCAGCATGGTTGTTGCCGATAGCCTCAGGTGTCCTTTTTGGTTGATGGCCCGGTACATGTATAACCGCTACTGCCTTTGGTTTTTCTATAGCGGCTAATAGTCTTTGGATTTCTTGCAGATTCCTCAGTCCCTTCCCTTCCGCGTAACGGAATCCTCTTTCTCGGTAGATGGTACCGTGGACATGGACAGTGCCAAAGGCATACCTGCTATCTGTGTAGATGTTGACCCGCTTGCCTTCTGCCCTTTCCAGAGCCTCAGCGAGAGCAATAAGTTCCGCCTTCTGTGCTGAGGTGCCAGGGGGCAGAGCTGCGCTCCAGACAACTTCTCCTTCGTGGGTTACTACTGCTGCCCCTGCTCTCCTGACCCCCTCCTGCACAAAGCTGCTCCCATCCGTATACCAATTTAGCTCACAGTTTGGTAACAGTGTCTTTCAGGTCTGCTCGCACCTGGATAATTTCAGGAAGGATGTCTCTACAGTCGTGGATGGGGGTCGACAGATCTGGGTCCAGCAGAAGGGTGGCAGGATTCAGGGTCACCGGGTCAGAGAAGGCAATTCGTGGAGAACCTAGTAGGAGCCCTTGGTAGTGGGTGAGTCTCGCATTCGTCATCCATTTTCCTGGAGGACGCCTGAGGACCCCCTCTACAGTATGTGGAGCTGTTACCCTCAGGTTCTGGCCAAAAGTCAGCTTATCCGCCTCTTTTACTAGTAGAGCAATGGCTGCTAGGATATGCAGACAAGGTGGCCATCCGGAGGCCACTGGGTCTCGCCGCTTGGACAAATAGGCCACAGGTCTTTTCCAAGGGCCCAGCTGCTGAGCCAGGACTCCTTTAGCCACTCCTTTTCTTTCATCAACAAACAGGATGAAGGGTTTTTCCGGGTCTGGTAGAGATAGGGTGGGGGCTCGGAGGAGGGCTTCTTTCAGTCTATCAAAGGCCTCCTGTTGTTCCTCATCCCACTGCCAGCCTGGCCCTTCTCTGGTCATCTCATACAGTGGTTGGGCTATTTCTGTGTACCCTGGGATCCAGAGCCTGCAGAACCCAGCTGAGCCAAGAAATTCCCTCACTCCCCGGGTGAGGAAGGGATGGGGATAGTCAGGATAGTTTGTTTCATGGCCTGCATTAGCCATCTGGCTCCATTAGATATTTTGTACCCCAGGTAGACCACTGACCTCTGACAGATGTGGGCTTTCTTGGCGCTGGCTCAATATCCCAGTTCGCCTAGTTCAGCCAGCAAGTTCCCCGTGGCTTCTTTGCACTCCTCACGGGTTTCTGTGGCCAACAACAGGTCATCCACATACTGCAACAGTGTCACGCGGGGGTGGTTCCTGCGAAAGGGCTCTAGATCCTGGCTTAGGGCTTCATTGAATAAGGTGGGAGAGTTCTTGAAGCCCTGTGGCAGTCTAGTCCAGGTAAGCTGCCCTTTTCTTCCAGCCCCTGGCTCCTGCCACTCAAAGGCAAACAAGGGCTGACTAACTTTAGAGAGTGGAATACTGAAGAAGGCATCTTTCAGGTCCAGAGTAGTATACCACACATGTGAGGGTGGCAGGTGGCTGAGTAGGGTGTAAGGGTTGGGCACTGTAGAGTGGATGTCCTCTACCCTCTCATTGACCTTTCACAAGTTCTGCACCGGTCTGTAATCTCTGCTGCCAGGCTTCCTTACCAGAAGCAGGGGCATATTCCATGCAGATCGGTAGGTTGTAAGGGTTCCTGTCTCCAACAGTCTGTGAATATGGGGTGCTATCCCCTTCCTAGCCTCTTCCGGTATTGGATACTGCTGGACCCAGATGGGTAGGGCCGCGGCTTTGAGCTCAACAACAACCGGGGGTAGATGTTTGGCGAGACCAATTCCTCCGGTTTCAGCCCATGTGGAAGGAAACCCCTGCAACCAAGAGTCCATTTCTCCCGGGCCCCCCTTTTCTAGATCTGCCTGAAACAGGCGATGTTCATCGGCCAGGGACAGAGTCAACACATGCACTGGTCGTAGGGGCTGCCCTTCTTTGTCCATGATCTTTATCCCTTCGGGTTCAAAATGGATGTGCGCCCCGACTTTGGTTAGTAAGTCTCTGCCTAACAGCGGCGCAGGGCTCTCAGGTATGACCAGAAAGGAGTGAGAGACCTGATGCCTTCCTAGGTCCACTTTTCTGTGAGTGGTCCCAAAAATGTTAGGGTCCAGGCACATCTCTTGGACCCTGTTGCTCCCTGGACTATACTTGTGCATCCTGGGTTCAGGGGACCATGGTCCTGGTTGAGGACTGAATATTGTGCCCCAGTATCTACCATGAACCCAATGGGAGTCCCCTCCACGCACAGGGTTACCCAGGACTTGGGGAGGGGTGCCGAGCCCCGTCCCCGTCAATTCTCTTCTCCTAGGTGCAGGGTCTTAACGGGGTTCCCTCCTCCTTGTTCCCTCCTTTTGGGGCACTCTCTCTTCCAATGTCCATATCTCTTACACAGGGTGCATTGATCTCGTCCTAGTCGGGATTCGCGAGGTCCCATTCCTCGAGGTGGCCCAGGGCTTTCCTTCACCCCGGCCAGGAATATCCTGGCCATCTCCTCCCTCTGCTTCTTGTTCTCCCTCTTCTGAAACTCTCTGTCTTCTTTCCTATTTTTCTCTTTCCTCTCTGTCTTCTGGAGTTTCCCTAGCATTGAAGACCCTCTCCGCCTGCTGCAGCAGTTCTCTAATAGAGATCTCCCCTAAATCCTCCTGCTTGTGGAGTTTCCTCCGGATATCAGGGGCTGCCTGGTTGATGAATGAGAGGACTACAGCTGATCTATGTTCCTCTGCTTCTGGGTTTATGGGGGTATATTGCCTGTAAGCGTCAAACAGCCTTTCCAGATACGCGGCTGGGCTTTCCATTTCCCCCTGAACAATAGTTTTTACCTTAGCCAGGTTAGTGGGCCGTCTGGCGGCCGCCTGGAGACCGGTCATCAGAGTCTGGCAGTAGACCCAGAGACGCTCCCTACCTTCTGCAGTCCCGAAGTCCCAATCCGGGCGTGCAAGTGGGAACGCCTCGTCAATGATGGGCTGGAGGGTAGTGGGTCTCCCATTTTCTCCAAGGACATTCTTCCTGGCCTCATTAAGGATACGCTCTCACTCTTCCATCATGAAGAGGGTGCGGAGCAATTGCTGGCAGTCGTCCCATGTGGGATGATGGGTAAACATAATGGACTCCACCAGACCTATAAGACACTTGGGGTCCTCCGAGAAGGGAGGGTTCTGAGTCTTCCAATTATAGAGGTCACTAGATGAAAAGGGCCAGTACTGATATTGTTGAGCTATGCCTGCACCGATGGCATGCACAGGCAGAACCGGCACTGCTCCTTCTGAGGTGGAGGAGGGAGCCTCCCCTTCTTATTCCCTGGCCCCCACCGAGGCCTTAACTGCATTCCTCCCACTCTTCCTGGCCTCCTGCCCTCTCTTATTGAAGAGTCTGGAGAAGCTACTGCCGCCTGGTCCCCGCTGGGCTCCCCAATCGCAGCTTCACCCCTTCCCTCCCACGGAGCCGCATACGGGGGTGGTTGCTCAATTGACAGAAGAGGGTGAAGGGGAGTACTGTCAGGGAGGACAGGAGGCGCACTCGGGATTTTGGCCCGGCGATCAGAGGGCTTTAAATTCTCCTGAGCAACTAGGACGGAGGTCTCTAATGGGTTGGGGAGAGGTTTCCCCACCGAAAAAGGCTTTAGCCAGGACAGAGGATCCTTGGCTAGATTTTCCCAGACCAGG